GCTCTCTCTCTCTCTCTCTCTCTCTCTCTCTCTCTCTCTCTCTCTCTCTCTCTCTCTCTCTCTCTCTCTCTCTCTCTCGCACACGGACACACAAAAAAAGGGTGTGTGCTTGTGTTTGTATTTGTGTTTTGTGTGTATGCATGTGTCTTTGTGCGTCTGTGCTCACGCGGGCATGTGCAAGAAGCCCGAGTGTGTGTGTTTGTGTGTCGGTGCTCACGCGGGCATGTGGGAGAAGCCCGAGTGTGTGTTTGTGTATGTGTGTGTGTGTGTGTGTGTTTAAGATGTGTGTGCGCTAAGGCAGGTGAGGTACGATACATCATTACGCATACCAGCACAGCTCCGACGAACCAAGTCAGCCCACCTTGAGTAAGAGACAAAAGCAGGTCCTGGAGTGATGTGACCAGCAGCAAAAGGCGGACAAAAGACCCCGTAGGCATGGGATAGACACACCCAGTTACTGTAGCAGAAGGTAGGGAAACCCGGACTCTACGAGCAGCATCGACTCTTCAACTGCAGTTCTTGAACTGGACATGGGACAGACACATCCAACAGAAGAAGGTAGGGGATCTCTATGTCGAACCATGAGAGTAGCATCAATGCTTCAGACACTGTTTTCAGGCAGACCAGAACACACACAAAATTACACAACCACCAAAGAAAAGGCCCCGGGAGCTGAAGGACACCGAAGCAACGGGCCGGGAACCAACACCATAGGATGACAAGTCACACCACGCCACGCCGCGCCACGGCACATGGACATAGCGGCACGAGAGGAGGGACAAACAGTGAGGCATCACGCAGGCTGGAGGGGATGGGAAGGCGGGAGGGCAGACAATGCACAATACACAAGTCAGGGGAAAGACGACGACCAGGAGACAAGAAAAGTTCATTTACCGAAAAACAGCGAAGCGGCCAGAAGAATAGAGGGGATGGGGGAGGAGGCGGGAGGGCAGACAATGCACAATCCACAAGGCAGGGGAAAGACAAGACAAGAAAAGTTCACGTATCGAAAAACTGCAAAGCGGGCAGAAGAATAGAAAACAGCAAGGGAGAAGCTGGAGGGTGGATGGGAGGAGGGTGGGCAGACAACCAGCACAAAGCTTTGACAATCTGATGGGAGGAGGGTGGCTAGGAGGAGGGTGGGAGAAACAAAGACGGAAAAAAAAAAGCTGATGATGAAAGGTTGTTTCGTCAGAGTTGCACCGACTCGTCAGGAGGCTGAACCTTCGACAATCTGCGGAAATTGTCCCCAAGTGGAACACAGCAGCAGCCAGCAACTCAGTGAAGCACCAGGCAACGCTGCCGACGCAACACATCTGCACGACGCCGAAAGCAACTTGAGGGGCAAGCTCGACGCAGCACAACTGCACAAAGGCCAAAAGCAACTTCAAGGACAACACGGCAAGCGGACGAGCAGCACGGCAACAGCACAACAAAGCACAAGGCAATACCAAAATTGCGGCCACACTGCACGGCACACAAGCAAGGAATGCGGAGGCAAGGTGGCAGCGCAGTGAAGCACAGAGTAACACTTACACCGCAGCCACGCCACACGGTGAGCACAGCAGCTTGCAAAGAACAACATGCGATGCAAGCCGGACAGGCAGCAAAGCAGCGGCGGAGCGCAGAACACGGCAGTCTACACATCCAACACGGAGTGAAGCAGCACATCGTCTACTCACATCAGTAGTGAACCGGCAGACTGTTTGTTCCCACCACCTGCTGAGCCAGATCGTCACTCCGACGGAAGTCTATCATCACCCACTGACCATATGCACCACACAGCCATCACGGGAAGAGTGTTCCCCTGGAGAGTCCTGCAGGCACTCCGAACAACGGGCCACCTACTACTACTATTTGGCACTTCTGAAAGGTGCTCCCTCAAACATACAAATGTACTTGGACAAAATAGGAGGAAGGACGCAACAGGAGAAAGACAGATGCAAAAAAACTACTCTGTGTGTGTGTGTGTGTGTGTGTGTGTGTGTGTGTGTGTGTGTGTGTGTGTGTGCAAAATAAATAATGCTGTGCTTGCCCACCAAAGAGGTCATCAGCCTGTTATCCCTAGAGTAACTTTTATCCGTTGAGCGACGGCCCTTCCACTCGGTACCGTCAGATCACTAAGGCTGACTTTCGTCCCTGCTCGATGAGTCAGTCTTGCAGTCAAGCTCCCTTTTGCCTTTACACTCAATGGCTGATTTCCGTCCATCCTATAACTAAGTGTTCTAGCTATATCAATCGAAAAGAAGATCATTATGGAATCCAAAGAGCCAGTGACCAGATGCCAGCAGAGAACCATATAGAGAACAAACTCAGGAATCAGGTATCCTTGGCAACAAGGCAGAAAGCAAGTATTGCACGATAGGCAGCAGCAGAACACACAGGCTGGAGGGCACGAGGGAGGCTGGAGGGCAGACACACAACAGAAGGCAGCGAACCAAAGAAGACAACGACACAGACAATCAACAACACAGAGAATGACATGCAGCAGCAAAGAACAAGGTCTGGAGGGCAAAGGGGAGGGCAAAGGGGAGGTGGGTCGGCACACGGAGGCACGAGGAAACGAAGCAATGATAGGATGACAGGAATCGGCAAAGGACAATGGCAGGAGGGAAAAGGGGAGGCAGGAGGGCAGACGAAACTGGAGCACATAAAAGAAGCAAACCAGAAAGGGATACAAGACTTAATAGTCCCCCCCTAAAAAACAAAGACCCGAAAAAATAAAACTGCTGATAGATTGTTTCGTCGGAGTTGCACCGACTCATCAGGAGGCTGAACCATTGACAGTCTGCGGAGTCCTCGTATTGGTGGTCTGGGTCATGAACCCGTTGACCCGTGTTGAAGGCAGACTGTCCCCAAGTGGAACATAGCGACGGTCAGCAACCCTGTGGAGCACCAGTAGAGGCAACATGGCTGCACAACACCAAATCGACTGACAGTGTAAGGAACGAAACAGCATGCAGGCAGCACAGCAGCCACACGGTGAAGCACAAGGCAACACCACGAATGCAACCGCACTGCAAGGGACGATCGGCCAAGCGGATGAGCAGCACAGTGACCATGCGGTGAAGCACGAGGCGACACCAACAAGGCAACCGAACTACCAGGTGCACAAACAAAGGACAC